ATAGTTTGCCTCAAGGCTTGTTATTTTTTAGTTCTTTCGTTACCTTTGGAGCTCACTATGCTGTTTAGCTGTTTAAGGTTTGGGGTAAAGTTGTGCTTATCTTTGTTTGGAAGTTGTATGTCGGATTGGATTTCGAGAAGGTATGTGCTATTTATCTTATCCGCAGCACTGAGACACTCGTCTGTTGCTCATGACCTTTTCCATCGTCATAATCTGCTGTGTTGGATAGCGACTACTATACAAGTTGCTCATGTTCTTGTTTTCTTTTTCTGCCCGTAGTTTTGGTACTGTAATTTTGCTTATTGCCGTAATTTTGAGAACTTAAGAGCTTTCAATTCTTCTTTGCTATGCAAGAAGTAATTCCAATTTCAGAAAGACTTTATAACTCGTTGGGAAGCGTCATTTCTGTGTCAGTTATTTGTAAATTTGCTAGTTCATTTTGAGTCAAGGTTCTCTAAAGATATCGCTAATGTCGGGCCTTCGTTTGGTAACTCAGAAAGGCGAGTGTGTCAAATGCTATGTAGAAAGGTGTTTTTCTTGACACTTTATTAGCTCGTTTTAAGTGGAACTATTGATATTTTTGAGCAGTTTCTTGCTGTCTTAATTTGTGCTTTAGGTTCTTCAAGTGATTTGTAAGGAAGATGATAAGGGAAAATCTTTATGGTTTGATAAATTGACAGCTTATTTGGAAAGCGATGGGGATATTCGAATAAATTAGAACAATTTTGGACGACGGTGTTTTTGGATATTTCATCACTTTGCTAGATATAGGGGGATATGGTTTATTAGGTGATCAGGTGAATGATTGAACGAGGTCAACTGTAATATTGTTGCTATTATTTCATTCTTAAATCAGCTTTTGGTGGATTTTTGGGAAGTGTAAAAAAAATTTTTCTTCATTAATATTGTACTTTTTTGCAAAAGGACTGTTAATCATTTGCCTTGAATATTCTTGTTCTTTTTGCTTCCGATTTGCAGTTTTCATTGTTTGTGAAATTTAGGTACTGATTTTGACTTAAGTTTATCAACACATATTTATGCCTTAGAAAATTAAATGACTGGTGAATAGTCACCATAAAATCTCTTTTCAAAAAGGAGATTATTTCCGTACAGTGGTCGGATAATAAGTTCTGCTGAGAGTCTCATCTGATCCGTTCTTAATTTTGACTTAACTTTTAAATGTCGCATCAGCAGCCCCAGAATGCATTTCTCCTCCATTATAGCAAACCTTTGTCCTGAAGTTGTTCAAAAATAGTTATTATATAAGAAAAATATATGGTTGAGGGTCAAGTTTGTTATATGCACACATAGTTTTTTCTATTGTTGTATTACCTATACAATTCCTTGCTCCGGCAGAAAATGGTATGAAAGCGTACGGATGTTTTTGCTCTCCATCCAGGAACCTTTCTGGCCGAAAAACTTCTGGATCCGGCCAGTAACGAGGATCACGATGTACCATTGAAGGAGTTATGACGATTCCCACGTATTTAGGGATGGTTTTATTTTCTAAACTTTGAAATAATTGTTCTGAATTTGACTGAAGTCTCAGCAGAAAGGTTCTGTACGAGACTTAATTGAAGTTGGTACTAAACAGGACAGTAATTGTGGTGGAAATAGCTTGTAACATATCATAGGATAGGCCACTTACTTATGACGATGTCCTCAGTTAGAAATCGTGCGATTATGGGAACGCTCGGGTATAGTCTGAGGGTTTCTTTAATGCAAGCTTCCAAATACCGGAATCGGCTTAGGTCCTCGTAAGTAATCGGTCGGTCATCTGAAAATCGAGACTTTCAATAGCTTTTAGACTCTTAACAGCTCAGTATGATCTATGTAAGTGTTGCATTTTCCTCACTTATGCGTCGTTCATTAGTTATTTTCGTCTTTTTAGCTAAAACAGTTGATTGATGAATCACCACCATGAACTCTGTGGTTAATTTTTTTTGCTACCTGGGCCGAGGACGTCATCAATTTCTTTCTGCACTTTCGCTTGTATATGTGGATTTGTCCCCATTAAATGGAGGAACCAGTTTATGCTTGTAGACGTTGTGTCGTGGCCCTGTCAGTATCGTTGGTTATTATGTAGCATAACATTAGAAACAGTGCATTTGAACTCTACTAATTAAATTTCCCCAGCAAGGGAACGTATTTGATAAGGTAGACGAGAAAGATGCGATAGGCCTTTTTATTCCAGCCTATCGCTGAAGATTCCGACAAAATAAAGTTCCTTTCAACTTTAGTAACTCCAGTTCTTTGAAGGTGAAGTTTCATATGGATTTGATTCCAGATCGGTTTCCGTCCATTCGGGATGTCTATCCTGGGAAGGCTGTGTGGTTGGTCGGAATGCTCTAAGAACGAACAGTTGAGCTAGTCCGACTAAGGGTCACCAATCAGCTTTTGAGTTGTGCCTTGTTCTTCAAAGCCAGTCCATTCCCCCTGTAGAAACTTGGTACAGTTTCAGAAGTTCTCTGGCCTTTACGGGATGTTTACCCTTGAAGAAGCCCGTATACATTAGAAAGCTCTAGGAACGGGCTACTTGAAATTGTTATTTAAATTTAGAGTTATGAGTCAGGTTTTTGAAATAGGTATCTTTTTCTTCAGTTGCTCCGTGTTTTTTTTTTTTTGTTTTTGAAGAACCTTCCATTTATTAGAGGGGTTTATTCCAGAGGTAGTTTATACTCATTAGGAAACTCTAAACACGAAGTATAATGTCATTCTGATCAGGAATTGTAGTTTTTTTTCAGGTAAACGTTTTTTTTTGTGCCTGTGTTTTTTTCATTTTCGGAGGTTTTTCGCCCGCCCAGGGCGTTCATTCTGGAACCAGCCTATGCTCACTAAAAGTCTGAGAACGAATTATTCGAGCGTTTTACTTTGATTTAAAGGTCAAGTTTCAGGAACTCCTTCCTACACGCGCCCTAAAAAAAGAACAACGGAAAAAAAGCCATGTAACTTAAGATGTCGACCCAATTGCCTAATCATACTAAGCATGTTTGGGTAGTTTGTTCTCAAGCCTTGCTAATGCGCATTGGCCAGTTCTGAAATAAACATCTTGGATGGGCGAAAAGTTTCTGGAAATGCATATAGTTCAAAGAAAAACA